AAGGGGAGTTTGAGGATGATGCTGGTTTGAGATGCTCACAGGGGTCTCCCTACCACCTCGGCTCTGTTAGTTCTTTTGGTTTAGGCGATACATGGCAAAACCAGGCTATCTGGGCTGAGAAGCTTCCCTTGGAGTTGCGTGGACACAGAGCCACCCCTGGGCCAGAAGGGTCTGGAGTCACTGGGAATCTATTCACTTTCCTCACAAGCCCACAGCCCTTACTGAGCGTTGACTGTGTGTGCGCAGGCTCTGTGTGTGCAAGAAAGAGTGGAGGGGGAGGGGTAAGAGAGAAAATATGAGCCCTGCCTTCAAAGGAATTTACAAACTCCAGGGGGAGAAAGCACTGACACCTCTCTAGGACTTACTACATGCCATGCACTTTACCATATATTTCTTTTGTCATCCTGGGATAGACCCTGTCAAAAAAGGGCATTTTACTTCCATTTTACAGAGTAGAAAACTAAGGGTTAGGGAAGCCGAGTGACTTTTCCAAGGACACACTGCCAGTCAGTGGCAGAGCTGGAATTTGAGAACTGGTCAGTCCGGCTCCCCATGATAATGATAAGCTACTGTTCATTCAATATCTACTATCAGGCACTGTGCTAGATACTTAATATATTTATAACTCTTATAGCCATGTGCACAGGGAATTTTTACCAGCAATTCACAGAGAAGGAAACTAAGGCTCAGTGAGGTTAAGAAATTTTCCCAAGGTCACACAGCTAAGAGGTGACAGAGGCAAGATTAAAAGGCAAGTGGCAGAGCTGGGATTTGAACCCGGATGTGTCTGATGCTGAAGCACTTTGCAGCCAGATAATATCCAGGAGAGCAGAAAGGGTAGGGGTATGCTGAGTGTGGGCTGAGGCTAGTCTGCCTTACCTCAAGGGTCCATTGTGAAGGCCAGTGTCATAACATCAGCACCTTTCACGTAAGGCCCAGTCACTCCAGCAGTAGGTGGTGAGGAGAAGTCTTCACGATGGGCCCAGTGAATAACTCATCCTAGGGACATGGACAATAGCAGAAGAGCCTACCTCTCTACCAAGGGGCAGAGAGGGGGCTGAGTGGTGGGGAGCAGTTGAACAAGAGGGAAGCTGTGAAGGATAAGGCCCTTTGCAACTTAATTGAGATGCTCTTTCTTTCCCAGAGAAAAAGAGGAAGGAAAGATATCAATTGGAATGGGCTAGGTTGTGCTGCAGTAATGAACATCCCCAAAGGCCTTAATACTCTGAGGTTTATTTCTCACTCATGTTACCTTTATCAGTTAGCCTTTGCCGAGTACCAAATGATTCCAAAAGTTAGTGGCTCAGAACAACACACATTGAATATTTCCCTGGATTCTATGGGCTGTCTGGGTGATTCTTTTGGTGTGTGCCAGTTCAGGTGGGGCTGGATGGTTTAAGGTGGCCTTGCTCACATGCTTGGGACAGTTGGAGCCTTTCTCTGTGTGTCCCTCTTCCTCCAGGAGACTAACCCAGACTCATTCACATGGGGGCAGAGAAGTTCCCAGACACAGAAAAGAGCAAGCTCCAATGCTCAAGTGCTTTCCAAGCCTCTGATTATATCACATTTTCTAATATCCCATGGGCCAAAGCAAGCCACATGGCCAAACAGGTCCAGGGGGTATAGAAATGGACCCCACCTCCGGGTGGAGGGACTAGCAGTCATGTGGCCAAGTGCAGTACGTACAGGGACGGTAGGAATACTGAAGCCACATTTACAATCTACCGCAGGCTGCTCCATCATGGTCGCTTGGAGGGATCAGCTCCATGTCTTCCTCCGTCTGGGACCCAGGTTGGTCGTGGCTCCATCTTAGTGCTGCCACAATTACCAAAGCAGGAAAAAGAGAGCATGGCCTCTTCAATCTCCATCAAGGGTGACACATCACTTCATTTCATTGGCCAAAGCACATCATGTGGCCGCACCCAATTTCAGGAAAGAGCAAGTAGGATCCTACCACGTGCTTAGAAGGAAAACCACAGATTTTGGAGAACAGCACTAATGATTACCACAAGCATCGTTTATTGAGTGCCTGCTATATGCCAGGCAATTTAAGAATGTCATCTCAGAGCATCTGGCATCTTAGGAAGCGGGGATTATGATCTTGCTTCTGCAGTTAGTGAAGCAGAGCAGTTGAGGAACCCACCTGAGCTCACATCTGGCAAGAGGCAGAGCCAGGACTCAGACCCAGGTGGTCTGACCTCAGNATGACTATCACAAGCATCATTTATTGAGTGCCTGCTATATGCCAGGCAATTTAAGAATGTCATCTCAGAGCATCTGGCATCTTAGGAAGCGGGGATTATGATCTTGCTTCTGCAGTTAGTGAAGCAGAGCAGTTGAGGAATCCACCTGAGCTCACATCTGGTAAGAGGCAGAGCCAGGACTCAGACCCAGGTGGTCTGACCTCAGCGATAATGTGCTTTCCAGAGTGTCATATTTGTCCTCTCACTCCTCAGAGAGAGGATGCTCCACAGGTGACTCTGGCCTCCTGCAGGGAGGTGGGTGAGGTGACCTGTACATCATTTATTCACTTAGTCATTTACTCATTTGATCCATAATTATTTAAGTTCCACCATGGACAAAAACAGACCGGATCCTTGCCCTCACGGAGCTTATGGTTTGGAACACCCACCTCTGATCCCAAAGGCTGAGAATTCCATAAATCTCCAGCTTTAGAAAGGGGGTTGGTTCTAAGAGTGAGGAAGCTCTTAGAGTCCCCGCTTTAACAGAGGTTCCCCAAGGATCAGAGGAGTTCGGGTGCACAGTCCCAGCAACTGAACTTCATGGAAAGCCTGGGGAGCTGGCAGCCTCAGTGGTGCATCTTGTAGGAGCCACATAAGTGCTCAGTGAGGAGCAAGCAGTTATACATTCCACACTGTGGGCAGAGCCTCTGTTAGCTGCCTCTTACATCCAGAGAAGCTGGTGGGCTCACACCGGAGTGGGAGGGCTCCCATAACCCACACAGGGGAGCCTCCTGGCACTTGAGAGCTGGGGAGGGAGGCCTTGGTCTTGCTAAGCCACCATGGTCCTGAGAGCTCCCAGTCTGTGGCACACTGGATGTCTGCTGGGACCCAAAGAACTTCTGGGTCACCTGGCCTAGCCTTCTCCCTCTGCTCTCATCATGCTTAGAGCTCAAAGCTTGGTTGTTGCATGCTTGTCATATGGTCATCCAACTCCCCCTGGAACCCCTCCAGGGACGAGACGCTCACTACCTCCAGAATCAGTCTGTTCCAAAGTCCTTTCTGATTATTTGGCTACTTTTCCACACAACCCACATGCCACCAGCCATGTGGAAGCAGCACATGCCGGGGTGCTGTGCATCCTGGGTGCAATGACACCTCATGGGTGTCGGGGCTGTTTGTGGGGAGGGGGTGTTATGTGAGCATCCATAGCCCTGGGCAGATGGGCCTGCCTGGCTCTGCTGGGCTGTCAGTCAGAGATGCTAAGCCTCAACCCACTCTGGCTCCCAGCAAGTACAACTATTTATAAAAGATGAGGCCTGCCAGGGAACAAGGAGAGGCTGGGACATCTGCTCCTTCTACCAGGGTGGCTGGCACTCACCAGCCACCTCCCAGCCTCGTCACCCTGCTTGAAGGCTCCCCAGAGGCCCCAGAACCAACTCCCAATGAGCTGCACCAGCACCACCTCTCTGCCCTGCCCATGCCCCCACATGGGCCATCTCAGGGATGGGGCTGGGGTGAGGATGATGCTATCACAAGCCAAGGAATGCCAAGAGACACCAGAAGCTGAAAGAGGCAGGGAAGGATTCTCTCCTAAAGTCTTCAAAGTATCACATTTTGGGCTTCTGACCCCAGAACCATGAGAGAATACACTTCTGGCATTGACTTATTTCAGCAGGCCCAGGAAACTAATGCAGGGGGCAATGAGCAGGAAGTTGGCTAGACGCTGGCCTGATGGTGGGCCTCGGGGAGACCATGCCACCCTTCCTGCCCTAAGAAGCTGGGGACGTAGGGCCAGCCTTAGGCTAGGGGAGGAGAGCCTGGGGTGCTAGATGCCTAGCTGGCTTCCTAAATATTAATGCAGGCATGTTATTGATGGCACTGACTTTCCTTGCAACCCTGGACAACCTCTGCCGCTCAGATCTCCCTTTGAGAAGGCTGGGAGGGAAGCGTTTGGCTGCTGTCACATTATTTTTACACTCAAATTGAAATTAAAGATCATTTCAACTCCAGATGCTGGAAATGCCTGGGTTCATTACTTCCCAGGATTTTGTCCATGCTCTCGTTCTAGATTCAATTAGAGCAATTTAAAGTAATTAATTAAATTTTTTATTTGATTAATAAAGATAGAAATTCAGCTAAGATGTTGTGAAAGAGAAGCCTTATTGGGATTTGCTAACAAAGGCTCTGGGAGAGACTCCTTCCTGGCTCCCACTCTGCTACTCCTTCCCCCGGTCACCCAACATATTGTCCATGGATTCCCTACCGTACTGGCTTGGAACGAGGAGCCAGAGCATCTAGGTAAAGGCCCTGTGTGTGGCTGTGTTCTAGAAGGAGCCAGAAGGCTGGGGTGGCTGGACCAGTCAGGTCCGTGGGGGAGAGATAGGAAATGAGGAGGGAGTGATTAAGACATTGCTTCTCCTGGAGGGGGTGGGGTGCTGAGTAGGGGCCAGAGGGCTTGGAGCAGGCTGGCAGGAAGCTGGACAGGCACAGGAGCTGGGGGCTGGGAAGTGACAGGAAGCCAAGGGCCACACTGCAGGGGCAGTGGGCACGGAGGAGCAAGGGGATGCCCAGCCAAAGCCAGGAGCTGTCCCGCAGCAGCTGGAAGCAGATCTCAGGTGTCAGCATTGGCAGTGGGTCAAACCAGGAGGGAAAGGTCAGGCGAGACACCCGCATGGGGAGTCGTGTGGGTCAAGGTACAATTCCAAGGGTTCCTGAGTATGACACAAACCCCAGAAACTCCACAAAATTCAGATCAGTAAATGCAATGACATTGTTTAAATGTGCATGGAAATAAATACTGTAAACAGAGTCAAAAAATAAATGAGAAAGTTCTTTAATATGTGAAGCCCTTCTACAAATAAGATAAGAAAAAAAACCCAAACCATAAGAAAGGTGGGGAAAGTTTCGGCGAAGGAGCTACAAATGACTCTTCAACATATGCAGAGCTGCTCATCTCCCTTAATAAGAAAAATGCAAATTAAAGGCAAGCAGATAGTATTTTCATCCATCAGACTGAATAAGGTAAAAAAATACAATATACTGAATTGCAATTGGTGTGGCGAAAATAGGTCTCTCATACAATCTGGTTTTACCTCTAGGGAGGGCATTTTGACATTACCTATAAAATTATAAACACACATATTCGTTTACCTAGAGGTTCAGCTTCTTGAATTCATCCTACGGTTTATTGCAGCGCTCTGATAGCTTGATGGGAAACGGTAGAAGAGCCCGTGACTAGCAGGCTGGCAACTAAAAGATGGACTAGCCAGGGGGTGGAATACTATGTAGCCACGAAGAAGAAAGAAGCAGCTCTCCATATCCTGATGAGGGAAGGTCACCAAGACAGGCTACTGGGTAAAGAAAGCAAGGTCCAGAACAATGTGTATAGGATGCTGCTATTTATGTGACCGAGGAAGATGCATAAATACATTTTTGCATTTATTTTTGCTTATAAAGGTGCAGTCTATCCCTGGGTCACTAGATCACTAGAGCCTGGGAGCGGGGCCTGCCCTCTGGGGAGGGAGCCCAGATTGGAAAAGGAAAGACTTACTTTCCTTTGTATTTATCCTTTTATACTTTGAGCCAGCCTGACCCCTCCGCTCTTCTCCACTGGGAGCAGAGGGCTGGGTGGGCTCTGCATGCTCAGACTGAAGGGGCTGCGGAGCCTGGCTCGCCCCGCAGGAGGGAAGCACACCTTTGAGCTCTCTGAAAGTTACCAAGGGTCCTCCCAGGCCTGGTAACGAGAGGGCGGACTTTGGATTCTGTCTAGAGCATGAAAGATTTTACTATTTTTCTGATGGCCATGGTGAGAGTGAGGGAGTCCCTTCAGAGTATGGCAAAGCCAGTAGTGACCCCCATCAGGACAAGGACAGTTGTTGATGCGATTGGAGGGACCAAGGGCTTTTCAATCTCTGCTGTCTCCCACAAGGACTGCCCCAGGACACTTTTCAATCTCTGATGTCTCCCACAGGGGCTGCCCAGGACTTTCTATTCCTTTTAACACATATATGATCACAGCACCTCCCAGGGGAGGCCCAGCCTCCCAATGTGATCTGGCTGCCTCAGATGACTTGGAAGGGGGAGTGGATTAACCAGTAAGGGAGCAGGGAGTAGTGCACCCTACTCCCCTCCATCCCCGAAGGCCCAGGAGGGTGAACTTGGGTGGCAAACACAGTGCAGAGAAAGACCCTGAGTCAGGAGACCCAGCTCCAGGGCCAGGCCTGCACTCGCTGCCCATTGGAATCTAGGCAGAGCCCTTCTCTCTGGCTCTTAATTTCCCCACTTAGGCCAAGTGGTTTCTAATGGGTGTTTTGAGGAATGGAGTTTATGGGGTTTCATCCAGGACTTGGAGGAGCTCTGGGGCTGGAGGCACCAGATAGACAGTGTCCCCTCGTCACCTCAGCCTGCATGACATTTGTGGTTTACAAGAAGCTCTCTCAGCACGTTCTCATTCAGGCCTCACAGCCACCTCTGAGATACATGACGGTTCCCCCTATTTCTCAGATAAGAAACTGAGGCTCGAAGATGAAGAAACCAGCCCAAAGTCCCACTCCTAGGAGGCAGAGCGTGTGGGATTCAGATCTGAATGACTTCCAGGCATCTTTCCCCCATGCTGCAGCTGTCCCTTCCATGTTTATTTCACTTTTTGGTGGGATAGAGAGCAGCCTCTTCACTCCCACCTCTGGGAAGCAGACATCTCTAGAGCCTGGCTCTGCAGATGCCCAGTCAGGGCAGGGCTTCAGCTGGCCCTGCCAGTGGCCATTTCCACCCCTGGCACTCCAGATGGGTGCCTGGCATTCCACCCCCACTGCCTTATGATCATACCTGAAGGGCCTGAGTGATTGACTTGCCTTCCCCCTGCTCTAAGCCCATTCTTCTTCCTCCCGGGGATCTTATGGAGACCTCAGGGCTCTGATGCTGGCTTGGCCTGGCCAGACCAGCCATGTCCTCCTCTTTCATTCCAGGGTGGGTGAAAGGGCATGAGTCTGTCTGGGAAGCCATTTCTCCCTGTCCACGGCCTGCCCAGTTCCCGCTGTGACCTCAGCCACCATCCTTTCCCATCACCTGCTGTATCCAAGACAACCGACAGCTCCTACTGGGCAGTGAGGGGAGGATCGGGGAGCAGGCAGGGTCAGTTCAGCAGTCATAGCTCCCTGGCTGAGGAGCCACCTGTTCTGTCTGAAAATTTCATGGTGGGAGGGAGAAAATCAGTCCTTTCATGAAATATAAGGAGTCATGTGGAGGACCTTAGAGACCTCTTCATAAACCAGTGCCCCAGGCTCTGGCTGTTCCAGCCTTCATGGAGCAGTGGGAACAGCATGAATGTGAAATCAGAAGAACTGGGCTGGATGGCCTCTTCCAGCTCTGACTAGCTGTGTGACCTTAGGTAGGTTCCTTGACATCTCTGAGCTTCTGTTTGGACTGATTCATGGACTCACTAAGGGCTTGCAATGAAAATAAATGTACTTTGCAAGCACTAAAGTGTCAGTGGTTAAGAACATGTGCTCTGTGGCCAGAAAGGTTGGGTTTGAGTCCCAGCCCTGCTGTGTGACGTGGGCCATGACTTCACCTCTGTATCAGGTACTTTTGCTATGCAAAAAACATCCCACAACTCAGTCATTCAATGCAACAGCCACTTCAATGCAACAGCTCATGATTTGGGGGGGTCAGCAGTTTCAGTTGGGATCAGCTGTGCGATCCTGCTGGTCTGGGGAGGGCTTGGCCCACTTGTCTGCTGTCAATTGGTAGAATCCCTGGGATTGGCTGGTTAAATTGGCCTCATCTGGGATGACTGGAACTACTGGGTCCCTACATGTGGTCTCTCAGCTTCTAGCAGGGTGGGCAAAAGTAGGTTTATAGTTGTTTAAGTGGAAAATAGTACAATGATTAATAAATAATAAGACAGTAATAAACTATGTTTCACAAACTCATAACTGTAAAACTACTTTTGCCCCACTCTGTATTTTGTCAGACACAGCTCACATTTGCAGGGTGGCAATGACCTTCACAGGCCCGTGGAGTGCAATGTGGGTACTGGAAGTACTGGCCACATAATCTGGAACTGGGGTTGAGGTCTGTGATGTCACTAACAGCCAACCTCAGTCCCTGACAGATGTTATGACTCTGGGTCAAACCAACGGGGCTGCTATCTTGGTGATCTTGTGCAGGCCATCCAGTGGGGAGGGGAGGGGGTGCTGACTTTATTGGACTTTAAATTCTTGAAAATAGGATCCACACAGCTGCTTTCACAGACCCAGCTTGGCAACCATAGGTCTGGTTCAGCTCCCTTATTTCCATGGTTCTAGGGGTGCTTTCTGAGCTCACCCAGAGAGCCTGAGGAAGGTGAATGGCCATTTCTTCATTCATTTAATCTTCATTCTTCATTATGTGTCAGGCCCCTCCCCAGACACCAAGAGATACCAGAGTGAGTCAAGTCAGATGCGGGTCCTGCCCTCATGGAATTTATAGTCTAAGGAAGACAGAGATTAATTGATCACAAGAATGAATGTAAAATTATATGGCCAGATGGCTTTCTCTTTGGAATATTAATCTTCCTTCTTTCCCTGGCATTTCCTCTTTCTCTATAGGGCAATTGGACTCAGAACATTCACTGCTGCAGGGGAGGGACGACCAGTGGATATTCTTGCCTATTGAGTCTAAAAAACTGATGCCCGTGGGGAGGGGGGGATGGAAGGACCAAAGATTTGGTAGATGCAGGATGCTCCAAGTCCTCAAAGCAGATGACGCTCCCCGTTCCCCAGGCTGGGCGAGGCAGAGTGATGGGGAGGAGCATTGCTGGGTGGGCACAGGAGATGGACCACGTGCTTGCCTCAACTTCTCCCTGCTTCTACCCAAACAGGTTTGGAGGACCTGGGAACAGACAGGACCTGTGCCCACACCCCCAGGGCAAAGCTTGGGGAAGTGGAAAGCCCTAGACATTCCCCTGGCCACTGTAGCTCCGACTGCAGGACCACTCAGAGCACAGAGTCTAAAGGAGCCTGAGTCTCCCGGGGCCTGGCCAGCTCTTCCACCCAGCAGCTGAGGCTCACTGGGGGCAGGGCCATCAGTCCTCCCACTGCCCCTGCTGCTGGGCCTATACCTGAACTACCAGGTGTGCTGTGTACCTTTTGTTTGGGGGAAAAAAAGTGACACATTTCC